ACGGGAAAAAAGGGGGGGGGGGTTGTAAGAGGAAAAATCTAGCATGCTTGAAATTGGACGGTGGCTTAAATGTTCTGGGTTTGCAAATCAACCTAAAGGAATTTTAATAAAACAACAAATGCGTAAAGAGCACCATGGAATAAAGATTGTATTGTTCGGGGCAACATTTTAAGGGACGTTTCATAAACAGTCATGTGAGAAGGCCCAATCTCCTAGGAGTCCCATAAAATCTATCTCCAGATTTCTGACATGAAATCAAAAGACTCCGTGTCTAATCTCAATGGGGTTCCGCTAACAGCAAAGGACCTGCCTCATTCAGGTCACTGAAGCCTCCACTGCGGTCTGTAAAGAATTGCTTGATCCCAAGAGGGCAGGGCGAAGATAGAGAGCAGGTCACCACCCCCTCCCCCCACCCTTTGCTCCCAGGCAAGCTTGAGAACACAGTGTCTTGCCGGGTCTGAAGGAATGTTTCAAGAAGATAAATTAGCAGAGGATCTGGTGAGTGGAGGAGATAAAATCTGCATTTTAAATGACTTAGTGTTGACCTAGCCAGAAGGGTTTCATTTAAAATATACTGCAGAGGAATAACCGGCCCTTTTCACACTCATAAGGCTAATTATTAAAATTTTACGCATATGCCTAGAATCAGAATCGAGAAACTAGAGAGAAGTCCGCCTTGCAGTATGTCACATGGGTCTGCCTCAAGTTAGATCTGGCAAACATACATAAGCGAAACATCTTCAGTTTTCTGAAGGCTCCAAAATGAGTCTCACAAAACGCCCAAGTGAACGCTGCGGTGCAAAACTGTTCTCAGCTGGGGCTCTCCCATTATCACCTAAACCATCAGACATCAGACTGTTTTTGTGGAAAGAAAAAAAAAAAAAATCTTGATGAAATCAGATCTTTCTCCCAGTTAGCTCCAGTTCATTTGAAACGCAGCTGACGCAGCTTTAAGTATATTTATTTAAACCAAATTATTTCAAAGAAAGGAAACTATTAAGGGGAAATGGAAATAACTGTAATCCATCTTTGAAAAACAACCAGGTAATTCCTTTGAAGAAAAGGTTCAAGAGCTTTCAACTTGCAAAGCGACAGAAGAGCACCATGGAATAAAAATTGTATTGTTCGGGCAACATTTTAGGACGTTCATAAACAGTCATGTGAGAAGGCCCAATCTCCCGAGGTCCTCATAAATCTATCTCCAGATTTCTGACATGAAATCAAAGACTCGTGTCTAATCTCAATGGTTTCGCTAAGCAAAGGAAGCCTGCCTCATTCGGTCACTGAAGCCTCCACTGCGGTTCTGTAAGGACTTGATCCCAAGAGGGCAGGGCCGAAGATAGAGGCAGGTCACCACCCCCCCCCCCCACCCTTTGCTCCCAGGCAAGCTTGGAACACAGTGTCTTGCCGGTCTGAGAGAATGTTTCATAAATTAGCAGAGGATCCTGGTGAGTGGAGATAAAATGCATTTTAAATGAGCTTAGTGTTGACCAGCCAGCAGAAGGGTTTCATTTAAAATATTGCAGAGAATAGGCCCTTTTCACACTCATAAGGCTAATTATTAAAATTTTACATATGCCAGAATCAGAATGAGAAACTAGAGAGTCCGCCTTAGTATGTCACATGGTCTGCCTCAAGAAGATCTGCAAACAACATGTGAAACATCTTCCAGTTTTCTGAAGGCTCCAAAATAGGTCTCCTAGCCTAAGAAGTAGACATGCTGGTGCAAAACTGTTTCTCAGCTAGGGCCTTTATCACCTAAACCATCAGGCATCAGACTGTTTTTTGTGGAAAGAAAAAAAAAAATCTTGTGAAATCAGATCTTTCTCCCAGTTAGCTCAGTTCATTTGAAAGCATTAGCTGGCCTTGCTTTAAAGTATATTTATTTAAACCAAATTATTTCAAAGAAAGGAAACTATTAAGAGGAAATGGAAATACTGTAATCATCTTTGAAAAACAACCAGGTAATTCCTTCGAAGAAAAGGTTCAAGAGCTTTCAACTTGCAAAGCGACAGTTGTAGAAACATTTGATCCAAATGGCCCAAGCTGGGTGGTGAAGGGGAAGGGGATG